GAGCTTCTTATAGATAGACAATGGAAGCAAGCTCACACTGGCACTCAAATCGCACAATGCACGGTCAATCTCAATGTTCCCGATTTTGCAAGGAATCGAGAAACTACCTGGATCCGATCTCTTTCGTGGCAACTCATGCTGTAGAATCGCAGCGCTCACCTCTGTGCTCAAGGATACTGTCTCCTTCCCAATCACCCTCTTCTTAGTCAAGATATCTTTCAAAAATTTTGCATAAGAAGGGATCTGGAGTATCGTCTCATAGAAAGGCATCTTAACCTCTAACTTTCGAAGCATATCAACAAATCTAGACAACTGTGTATCCTCAGCATGCTTCTTCAATCGAGAAGGGAAAGGAACAAGTGGTACATAAGGTGGGGGAGCTACATAAGGTGGTTCGACTTCCTCTACATGCACCTTAGGTGTCTCGTGAGCTATGGCTTTCCCTTTCTCCTCGATGGTGTATCTAGAGATCACCCCTTTTTCTGTGGTAGTAATAGGGACCGTCTCAGGCAGACTCTCTCCACTTATAAGCTGAATGGCATTGACATGCTCTCGTGGATTCGGCTCAGGCTTTCCCGGGAATGTACCCTGTGGTCTGGAGACATGCGATGCAAGTTGTGCAATCTGAATATCGACAAGCTTCAGATGAGCTTCGACCCCATCTAATATCCTCTCAAAATTGTCTTGCCTGACTTTTATGCTCTGTATCTCAGTCTTCACCTCAGTGAATGATGTCTTCTGATCGAGCATTAGCTGGGCAAGCATCGTCTTGATGTCTGCTTCATCGTTCTTCGCAGGTTGAGGCGCTCGGTAACCTTGATTCTGCTGCCCATATCCTGGATTCTGCTGTGCATATCCCTGATTCTACCCTTGAAAACGTGACTGAGTGAAGCTCGGGGGATTCTGAGGGATTCTGGGAACGCCATGTTGCTGTGCATTCAATGCTCCACTCGGGTTTCCGTAGGAGAAACCAAGATGATTTTTCTCAACATAATTGACGTCCTCCACTGCCTCCTCTATCTCTGGTGGTGTCTGATTCGAACTGCTCTTAGCTTCCAAATGGAGCTTGATAACCGCTAGCTCAGACATGACAGCTTTCAAAACTGCAGATTCTCCTGTATCTATCCGAGCCATGGGTCGTCTATTGCTATCGCTGGACATCCCTCTAGCCTTGGCCATCTTCGCAATCTGAATCTCTAGGGTGTCAAATGGAATCTCATAAACGCTCCCTCCACAGGCTGCATCCATCCAAGCTCTGGTATCATGTCGTAGTATGTGGATGAACGTGGATAGCAACAGTCGCTTATCCATGCCGTTGTGTGGACAAAGGCGTTGATAACCTTTGAATCTCTCCCATGCGTCGTACAGACTCTCATCACTCTCCTGAGTGAAGCTGTGTATGGCTCTCTGTACAGCTCGGGTCTTCTCTGGGGAGTAGTATTTCACCATGAACTGCTCCTCTAGCTCCTCCCATGTCGTGATCGAGTTCGGCTCAAGGGTGTAGAACCAATCTCTTGCCCGATCTCCATGCCGTGGTGTGGACAAAGGCGCTGATAGCCTTTGAATCTCTCCCATGCATCGTATAGACTCTCGTCACTCTCCTGAGTGAAGCTGTGTATAGCTCTTTTTGCAGCTCGTGTCTTCTCTAGGGAGTAATATTTCGCCATGAATTGTTCCTCTAGCTCCTCCCACGTCGTGATAGAGTTCGGCTCAAGGGTGTAGAGCCAATCTCTCGCCCGGTCCATCAGTGAAAAAGGAAAAGCCTCCAAGTATACATCTTCGATCGTCATGCCTCGTGCCTTTCTGACTGATCTGCACAGCATCTTGAACTGAGTCAAGTGAGCAATGGGATCCTGTGTAGGCCGCCCTCTGAAACTGGCCTGACTAAACATCGTGATGCACTGTGGCGGTAGCTCAAAGCTGTCTATGGGCGGTCTGTTGATGCATGATAGGAGTTGGGTGTGCTTCGGTGCAATGTAAGATCCCAAAGTCTCCTCTGCAACATAAGTAGCTTCGCCCTCGGTATGCTGATCGTAGAGCGGATTCATGCGCTCTTGGTTCATGTGGTGCTCCTCATCATGAACCGCACGCTCTTGTTGATGGTCGTGCGAACTGCTTGACCTCGACATAGCTTCTCTTCTCTGCGGATTTCGGATGTCCCTCAAAGTACGCTCAATCTCCGGATCGTAGACTAGGTCTTCTTTCCGAGTAGAGCTCCTTGTCATGCACTAGAACCCTAAAATCGCAAAGAAAAAGAAGGACTCGAAACCAAGTGAATCCGCAAAAACCAAAGAAAGAAAAACAAAAAGAAAAAGAAAAAGAAAACAAGCTAAGATCTAGAATCAATAAAGACCTAGAAATAGGCTAACCAGTCCCCGGCAACGGCGCCAAAAACTTGATACGTGTGTACCGAGTCTAGAATTTATAACCCGATTAACAACTCACCGCAAGGATACGGATCGTCGTAACACGGGGTCGAACACGAGGACCGGTTGCTAAATCCAAATCTAGATCGAAAATATATCAAAGCAAGCAAACAAGTGATGGTGGAAATATGTGAATCAATGGTAAGCAATATAAGAAAGTAAATAAAAACAAGTGACCTATCAAACAAGGATGACTACGGGCGTCGGGATCGTATTCGCGTGTATGGGGATTTACTAAGCATGCATGAATAACGATTATGACTTGTATTCGGGAATCATCAAGCAACAAGAATAGAGAATTCACATTTTGATTCGAAACAAACCCATATCTCTATGTGGTTTAGAATCCAAGATAATTGATCAATGGGTTAGCAAACATCAATCCAATAAAAGTGCAAATCAATAGAACCGAAACAAATCAAAACCGAAATCCAAGTTAGGGTTCAAACATACCCAAAACACATACGAATCCCTAACCCATAGTCATGGATCTACTCAAGGTTCATGGAAAATAATAGAAAGAACAGAGAAAAAGAGATAAAAGAAGGGATAGAAAAGCTCATGTCGATGTCTAGTCTTCACGATCGAATCCTCCTTCTTCTTCCCGAAATCCCGTGAACTTCTATTCTTCTCTCACCAAAAGCTCTCCAAAAGTGTGTATCTAGGTGTTCTCTAAGGGTCTCTGATGTTCTAGGACGTGGCTAGGTCTTTTTTATAACCCTAGGACGGCTCCCAAGAGTCCTATTCCCATTCAGATGCTGAAAATCACGAAACAGGGTTTTAGACTGGATCCGGACCGATTCCAGGTGGATCCGAACCGGATCCAGATTCCTGGGGTCGAATTCTGCGTCCTTGATCCGGACCGGATCCAGTTGGATCCGGCCCTGCGCTGGCAGTTTTCTGGTCTTCACGATTTCACTCGTAACTTTCTGCTCTAGTGTCGGATTTACGCGATTTTGGTGTCTACGCGAAGCTCTTGAAGTGCTCTTTCCAATGGCATAAGTTTCGCACGATTTGAACCTCTGTAGAGAAAGTTATTGATGTCGCAACATGAGTATCTCATCCGGACTTCTCCTTTAACGCAACAATTAGCTCCTTTTCGAGTCCAATCATCTCCGAAACCTGTAACTCTGCAAAACTAGAGCACAACCGGTTTTGTATCCTAACACGCCTAGAATGCCTAATGAATGCATGTGATTATCCTATAAAACCTAGACAAACTCTCATCAAAATATAGAGAAGAATAGGAGTTATCAGATGTGATTGACAATGTGTTGTCTACCTAAATAGCATGTTTTAGCTGACTCAAAAGCATGTGAAATATGGATCCTAGCTCACTTAGAAACTCATTGAGGGTGTTTTTCTTAGTGGGAGCCTGTCATATTGCATCTATTGTCTGTGTTAGTATGTGTACTAAGCGGCTTGCATATTTTCTGTCTGTTTGTCTGTCCTTTTCTGTAGAACATATCTGTTGCAGGAATCTGTTTTATCTCACCATGCGATCTATCCTTATGAAGGATAAGCCTCTGACCACAGCTTCTAGATCGATCATTGATACTTATTGGAAGCATGAGGATGATGATCTGGACGTGTCCAGCTTGATGCTTGGAAAGATGTATTCGGAATTGCGTGAGCAATTAGATGACATGGACAATTCATTGATGGTTGATCAGTTGAATGTGTCATTCCAAGAGAAAGCTCAGAGCCAAGGGAAGAATGATATGGTAGTTGTTGGGAAGAGTTCCACCAAAAGGAAACGTTCCAAGGGCAAGGGCAGGAGGAAGTGACAAGTGTTGTCACTAAGCCTAAGCCCAAACCCAAGAAGGAAGAGTGTTATTTATGTCATGCTATCGTGCATTGGTATAGAAATTGCAGACTCTACCTGGAAATTGACAAAGGTGGGGAGACTTCAGGAATGCTACCTGATTCACCAGAAGACTGTGTTCTCCCTTTATGGTCAAACAGCTCTTTGCGAAAACCATCTGTATTGCAGGCTGATTACAATTCAAGGGAAGGATGCAGAAAAGGTTAATGGCGACATAAGAGAGTAAATAGTTACCATCTTTTGGTAAAGCATTTCCAAGTGCGAGCTCCAAGTGCAGTTTCTTCGGCATCAAACCATTTCTAAAAGAATAAAGTCAAGTAGGGGTAATTGGTATGAGTGCACTGATTTAAGATAAACAAGAGGCCCGAAGAGCCTGGAATACCTGAACGCTAAAAAGACAAGGCATTGGGCTAGACTCGGATGGTTTCAGATTTGTAATTGATAACAAATGTCTGTCCATTTATAGAGGCGATTTATTCTATGGTAAGGGTTACCAGTTTAATGGACTTTATGTTTTGGAAGATGAACCATCTAGATACAGGTCGATCTATAACGTAAGTACCAAGTGGTTTAAGCCGAACGACTTAAACCCGACCTATCTCTGGCATTGTCGACTTTGCCACATCAACGAGAAACGCATAGCGAAGCTTCATTCTGATGGACTTCTTGATTCTTTTGATTATGAATCAATCGAATCATGCGATTCCTGTTTGATGGGCAAGATGACAAAATCTCCTTTTACTAGAAAAGGAGAACGGGCTACGGAGTTGTTAGAACTCATACATAGTGATGTGTGCAGTCCTATGAGCTCGCCCGCTAGAGGAGGTTATCTGTATTTCGTTACGTTTACTGATGATTTCAGTAGGTACGGTTATGTCTACTTGATGAGACATAAGTCTGAGTCGCTTGAATTGTTCAAGAATTTCAGAAACGAGGTACAGAACCAACTTGGCAAGACGATCAAGTTACTTCGATCTGATCGAGGTGGCGAGTATATGAGCCAACAGTTCACTGACTATCTGGCAGATTGTGGGATTGTCTCACAGCTGACTCCACATGGAATGCCACAATGGAATGGCGTTTCCGAGAGGAGGAACCGAACCTTATTGGATATGGTACGGTCTATGATGAGTCAGGTCGATCTTCCTAAATCCTTCTGGGGATATGCTTTGGAAACGGCAGCGCTTATATTGAACAACTGTCCAACAAAGTCGGTTCAGAAGACACCTGAGATATGGACTGGGAAGCGTCCCAGGTTAGCATTCATGAAGATTTGGGGATGTGACGTTTATGTGAAACGTCTGGCTTCTGATAAGCTATCCGCCAAGTCTGATAAATGCATATTTGTGGGTTACCCTAAGGAAACTAAAGGGTACTGGTTCTACAACCCATCTGAGAACAAAGTGTTTGTTGCTCGGAATGGATCTTTCTTGGAGAGAGAGTTCATCTCCAAGAGAGTTAGTGGGAGTAGAATAGATCTCGAAGAAGTTCGAGAACCACAAATAGTCGAGGAATCGAGTGAACAGGGCGAATCGGTTCAATCTGTGTCACAAGTTGTTGAGACAGCACCCCCTAGTGAACCTCAGAGATCTGGTAGAATTCGCCAAGAGCCTACAAGATACGGTTTTCTTGTGATTGGAAACGACGAACTCATGTTGTTAGAATATGATGAGCCTACGTCGTATTCAGAGGCTGTGGCGAGTTCCGATTCCGAGAAATGGCACCAGGCCATGGAGTCTGAGATGCAGTCCATGTACGACAAAAAGTATGGACTTTGGTCGACTCATTCGATGGTATTAAGACCATTGGATGTAAGTGGGTTTTCAAGAAGAAAACCGACATGGATGGCATCGTGCATACCTATAAGGCATGACTCGTCGCGAAAGGGTTTCGGCAGATTCATGGTATAGACTATGATGAAACCTTTTCACCAGTTGTGATGCTTAAATCCATTCGGATTCTACTGGCCATAGCTGCGTATTATGACTACGAGATATGGCAGATGGACGTCAAGACCGCATTCCTTAATGGAAATCTGCTTGAGGATGTGTACATGACACAACCTGAGGGTTTTGTTGATCCTAAGAGTCCGAGGAAGGTGTGTAAACTTCAAAGATCCATTTATGGATTGAAGCAGGTTTCGAGGAGGTGGAATCTTCGATTTGACGAGGCAGTCAAAACGTTTGGCTTCCAGCAAAAACGAAGATGAGCCATGCGTTTACAAGAAGGTCAGTGGGAGCGCAGTGGTCTTCCTTGTGCTTTATGTAGATGATATATTGCTCATCGGAAATGATGTTCCTACTTTGCAAGGAGTGAAATCCTGGCTAGGATCAGTCTTTTCGATGAAGGAGTTAGGAGAAGCCGCCTATATTCTAGGAATCAAGATCTATAGAGATAGATCGAGAAGGCTTCTTGGTCTAAGTCAGAGTACATACATTGACAAGGTCTTGAATCGGTTCAAGATGCAAGACTCCAAGAGGGGTGCCTTGCCAATGGGACATGACGTGGCTCTTAGCAAGACTCAGTGTCCAAAGACACAGGATGAACAAGAGCGCATGAGTAGGATTCCATATGCCTCGACAATAGGATCCATCATGTACGCCATGTTGTGTACTCGTCCGGATATATCATATGCATTGAGCATGACTAGTAGATATCAGTCTACACCAGGTGAGGCTCACTGGATTGCGGTCAAGAACATCCTTAAGTACTTGAGAAGGACTAAGGATTTGTTCTTGGTGTATGGCGGATTGGAAGACGAGCTCGCTATAAGTGGTTATACC